TTCATAAATCAAACTACATCTTAAGGTTATAAGCTCACTATTTTATAAAATAAATATTATATAATTAAATTTGAATCAAAGTTTTGAACATTAAAGTGGTATTTGAAAGTAGTTTTACTTCAAATCTCCACCTATTCAGTTTAACTCAGCTCAATAAGACTTTAAATTCAAGAAATTAATTCTTAATATTGTCATAATTATATAAATTTGTTCTTAATTCTTAACTCAACTCAATAATAATCTAAATTATTCTTAATTATTAGGAATTAGACTAGTCCTTGAACAATTAGTGTAACACCGTGTTACTTCCTCCATTCTAAAATATAGATCATTTTAGGATGACTGTTTTGTCTCAAAATATAAAACCGTTTTGAATATTTTAAGGGTAATAAACCATATCTTTCCAATTTTACCTTTTCTTATATTAGATATAATAATCATCTTCAAATTAAGGGTAATTTAGTCTAAAACAAAATAAGTGATTTTGAAATTAATTTGAATGATAAATTTTACTTTTCTTCAAAGAGATAATGGAGGTTAGTCTGGATAGACATGACTCAGGTTTCTTAAATAATATGTTAAATATTTAATCCATTCAGTGGAGAAAATTTCGGCTTGGAACACTTTACTTTATAGGCCTATACGGCACTGGTCCACCTAGACCAGCGATACCAATATTATAAACAAAAAAAAAAAAAAAAAGATTTGGAATTGCATCAATTTTGTCAAAACTGACCGAATTATACTTTGGAATTACATCAATTTTTTATTATATAAAAAAGTTTTTTAATTTCTTTCTAGAAACTTAAAATGAAAAATATTATACTTATTGGGATTTTTTATTTTCATTAGAATAATTCCCGTCGGAGACTATATTGTTTGTCATGTTTACATGTATTACCTTCGTTTCATAACTTGTTATATTTGAGAAAACAGTTTATTTCAAAAATACTTGTCACATTTTTTGTTTCAAAGAGCAATAAATCTTTTTTTCCATGTTTACCCTTATATATAATCAATAATTATTATTTCAATATAATGGTTTTCTTAGAAAATTAGTATTAAATTAAGGGTAATATAGTCAATTTATTCAATAATTTAATGGTTTATCTTAGAAAACTTAGTATTAACAATGAGGTTTATACAGTCATTTATTCAATAACTTTATTAAGGGTAATATAGTCAATTTATTCAATAATTTATTATAATTTAGACAAATTTAATGGTTTTCTTAAGAAATGTGAAATTTCAAATGCGACAACTATTAAGGAACATAGACAGTAATACATTTCACCTTTCAACTAATTAAATGTAGATCCAGAGTAGTAGGCTCCTAATTATCACTTTGCAAAGTATTGGTCTACTTTTTATACATAATTATCATTAGCATTTAAACTTATAAAGTCAAGTCCACTTTTAAAAATAATTTTGGACGGCGCAATTAATTTATGAAGTCTAGAGGGTCGCGGCAAGAAATAAAATTAAAAGAAACGGGTTTAATGTTTCTAAATTACTTAGAAACTGTACTATTTCCGTTTCTAGAGTGGCAACGGACTACAAATCCGTTTCCACTATCCGTTTCTAACTTAAGCGCACTAATTTCGCGCCTATTTTACTAACGGAACATTCCATTCTAAAAGGTCCGTTGCTTTCCGTTGCTAGACCATTGCTAGTTCGTTTCTAATCCGATGCTAAATTTAATATAAGATTTTAAGCTATATTCCGTTTCTAATGTATTGCTATTTCAGTGTTTTCATCTAGTGGGTCATTTGTTGTCTTATTGACAACTCATTGGACCTTCGGGTAATTTATTAAGAAAATAATAATAATGAAAGAAAATCTATTTGTTTGAGCTGAACCAAAAAACTGTTTAATTTGCAATGTATCAAAAATAAATTTTTGAAAAAAAAAGTCTAGTTTTCTAAAAGAAACTTATTTTTATTCATCGACTTGTTATTTAAGAATTTTCTTATCTAATTTTATTATGTTCACAATTCATTTTCCTGAATTTGTCAGGACCCAATTAAAAATCATATTATAATAGTATATTAGTCAAACTTTTATTTTTCAATTTCCATCTATAATTCTGTCTTTTCTTAGTTAGGTACATGAAATTATTGAGATTATTTTAAGAAAGTTACAAAAAACAAGGATAAAAATAAAGTTGTCATTCCATCTCGTTTCCCCTCTTTTTGTTTTTCTTTTCTTGTCTAAATTTATTAAATCAGTGATGTAAAACAAAACTTAATTCATTTAAAACAATCACAATCTATATATCTATGTCTATATAAATATATAAAAGGGTATTAAAATTTTAGAATGTTTAAAGTACTGAATTGATAAAGAAAATAATTTTCAAGTACTGAGTTGGCTAAAGAAATTATTTTTTAAAAGTTAATTATTAATAAAATCATTAATATAATTATTTTATTAAATAAAGGAGAGTCGAAGTGCATAATTCGCCATGAACTTTCATGCTTTAACCATTTGTCCCTTGAACTTTGCTATTAACCCTTTATATGCCTCCATTTTCACCATTTAACCTAAAAATTTCTTGTTGTTAACCTAATGAAGAGGTTTATAAATATTTGATAAACCAAGTTCATAGATAATATCAAAACTAGTGGCACTACATAATTATGAATGCTTGATGAGCTATAGAGACTTCAAATTCCTATATTAGAAATACTATTGTATAACTTGAAGATTAATTATGCAAAGTACACAGAGAATTCCTATATTAGAAATACTATTGTATAACTTGAAGATTAATTATGCAAAGTACACAGAGCACATTAAAACTCTTGTTATTTTGTGAGTCCCAGTACATTATAAGCAATAAGGCTCATAATTACGCTCACCTTTCACACACACACAAAAATATATATATTTATTTATTTATTTATTTCATCCAATTGAAATTATTTAAATATAGAAAACATGCATATTTCAATCTTGAGCGTTTTCTCTATTTGGGTGTTACATCTATCACCTCCGGGGATAACCATATCCTCCACCTTGATTGTTTGCTCCTTGGGTATAATTACCTCTACCTCCGCCTCCTTGGGTATTACCTGATCCACGTTGAGAATTTCCTCGTTGAGTGGGTCCTACCACAATAGTACACCCTTCTCCACAATAAATTTTTGGTCCCTGACTTTTAAGTGTGGCTAACTTCTTTTACACGTTTGTATGAAGAAAGGGATTCGTTCATACCGTCGATATAATAAAAAGACTTATAATTGCATTCCTTGAAATTTCATAAGTCTCATCCATAAAAAACAGTGGAAGAAGTCATAACAATTAAGCTCATCAATTTATATAATATATAGTTTTATTTATTCACGAAAATATATTTCGAGGAGCCTAAAACCACGATGGAAGAGGTCATTCTTTATTTTATTTTATTTTATCAAGATGGAAAAGGAAGGAGAGGAGAAATTATCTAGTCAAAAGGTCTGAATTTTAAAAAAAAAAAAAAGCTTCAATTTTAATAGTGTAATTTAGAATTTCAATTAAATAATTAAATAATTATTTCACGAAATAACAAATTGAAAAGTTTCAGTCTTAGCACCTTCAACATGTAAAATTATATTTATATTTATTCAACAAGCTAACCACTAAAAGGAAATAATTTTTTAGATTTATGAAACGCAAATATTTTATATATATATATATATATATATGTATATATAGCGTAGAGAATTGATATTCCATTTTATTCGATGTCTATTATATTTTTTACTATTCTGTTATTTCTTACATATTTAAATTTCAATCAAAGTTTAAGACTCCATTTGTTTCCATAAAATAACTTCTAAAAAAACATTTTTAAGTATTTTCCATTGTTTAAGGCGCTCAAGAAAATAAGTCAACGGAAAATATTTTTCTAGTCAAAAGAAAATTAAGGCATTTTTTTAGGAAAATAACTTTTCTTATTCAAGAGAGTAAAACATTTTTTACACATTGACAAACCTTATAAATCTATATTTTTTTTTAATTTATTAATCATTCTAATCACTACCACCAGTCACCATCTACCACTGACCACCACCACTGGGAGCTTTTTCATAATTTACATTTTTTTTTTTTTTGCATTCTTCTCATATTTAATAATAAAAATTTGGAATGATAAAATTGCTATTATTAATAATAATTTTATGGGCTTATGAGATAAAAACTTTAATATTTTTAATTAATTTGCAATATTACAACCAAATGACAGAAAATAAGTCATTTGGACATAAAAAATAATTTTCAGCAAATTATTTTTCTGAAAGAAATGGAGCATGAACTATATTTCAAGTAGTATTCGAAAGTAGTTTTATTTTGAATTTTCATGTACTCGGTTTAATTCAACTCAAGTTAATAAGACTTCTAAATTCACAAAAAAAAAAAAAAAAAATCTTAACATGTTACACTGATGTAAAGATTTGACAATTATTCTCGGGCAAGCCGCTTTGCCTCTGAGAGCGAGTGAAGATTAGTAAGATTTATGAACCATTAGAACGAACACTTGTCTGGATATCTCGAGCAAGTATAAAAAAATTTTGACAATTATATTAATTTTTAATTGTATTTTCAAGGAAATCAATCTCCGTTGTTAGGAATTGGACTAGTTCAGATGAATTGTAGGAGAGTATTATACAAGCATCGTGAATTACAACTTGTACAGAAATATTTATGCGACTCATGTTTATGTTTAATTTTATATCTCGGTTAAATAGTTTCATCTAAAAATTTCTTGTTGTTGACCTAATCAAGAGATTTATAAATATTTGGACGAACCGATAGTTATAAATACCTGATAAATAGTCTTGCATAAATTGGATATCAATTATGCGAAGTACACAGAATATACTATATGAGCAACAAGGCTCATAATTACGCTCACTTTTCAACCAAAAAAAAAAAAAAAAAAATTTTTTTCCATCCAATTGAAATTATTTTAAACATTAGAAACATATATATTTCAACGCTGAGTATTTCTTTCTTCGGTTTTACCTTTGGGGATAACCATATCCTCCACCTTGATTGTTTCTTCCCTGAGTCTGATTACCCCAACCTCCACCTTGAGTTCCTCCCTGATTATTACCCGATCCACATTGCTTGTTTCCTCCTTGAGTGGGCCCTATCAGGATTGTACACCCTTCTCCACATCCTCCCTGATTATTACCCGATCCACATTGCTTGTTTCCTCCTTGAGTGGGCCCTATCAGGATTGTACACCCTTCTCCACATAGAATTTGTGGTCCTTGGTTATTACCCCATCCTCCATTTTGACCGTTTCCTCCCTGATTATTACCCCAATATCCTCCTTGATTAGCCATTGTTTCACTCAGAGAAACCTGAAAACTTCTCTGGAATGTTTTTGTGAAGTATTTTCGTGTCTCTCGACTTATATGCTAATCAGAGAATTGTGACTCCTTATATAGGCATATAGGAAATGAACTATTGCTTCGAAAATTCTTATATTATCCATTGCTGAATAGATTACAGGTGTACAAGGCATAGTTAATTATTTTAGATAGACCAAGACCTTACCAATGTCAACATTAAAATACATGAAAAGAAGCAGACCAAGACTTTGGAAATAAAAATTATCATTTATTTTTATACCCGGGGTAGTTTTTTAATCAATAAATTTAATTTTTTTGAAATATTTTTGTCAATTTATAAATTTATTAAGCACATTTTTGCGATCTCAATGTTTTCTCTTCCCATTTTCACTTTTAATCATATGTTTATACTCGTTAATTTTACTTGTTGCAAGCAAATATAATATAATTTATATAATATATTTTTTATTAATTATATAATATATTTTTATTAATTTTTAAATTATAAATTATAATATTATCAACATTTCTATTATTAAAATATAGAAGTTTTGTTATATTTTAAATTAGAAAAATCACAATCGAGAAGTTTTTATTCCCATATCTGTTATATTTTAATTAGAAATCACAATCCGAGAAGTTTTATCATATCTTAATTAAGAATTGAAATATAAAATGAAAGATAGACTATTATTTTAGAATGAAAAGACATTATTACAATATTTGACATTTTATGAGAAGTCATTCTTTATTTGCTACTATCAAGATGCAATGCGTAGGAAATTAATATTAGTATATAGTCTCAGAAAATCAACTCTACTTTTTGATTGGAGTAAGTAGATTAAGAAGTCGGAAAGTGCATGAAATGCTTATATTTAACTTACATTCTCGATTCTATTTTTCAGGAAGTGGGTCATCCAACTTCCCTTACACAAGGGAAGTAACTTCCTTAGGATGGCTAAGAAACTTGCATCATGCAATAAATTTTTCAATTTTATCATATTATCTAAATATAATTAATTTTTATATTATGTATATTATTGTCTTTTACTTTTTAATAGCAATATACTTCTCAAAAAGTTAGATTTTTATACTAAATATATTCAAATTATATTTACTAAAAAATAATTTCCATAAAAGTGTACCTCCCGGAAAATATTCTTCTCAAAAAATAGATCATTTTGAACAAAACAACGCCTCTCTAATGATTAAGAAAAAAAAAAGTTTGTTACATAAATAATTATCACTTAAATATCATAGCTATTACTTAAATGATTAGTTCTCCTAAAAGAAAAAAAAGAAAAAAAAATTAGTTAAAGTCATTGTTACAAATACAAAATTCGTAAAAAATTATACATTTTAAGGCATCAACTAAAAAATTAAGGTTATTTTTTGTCTTTTTAGTGTAAAAAACCAATTTGTCTTTTTAGTGTAAAAACCATTTTTCTAATCAAAATGATAAAATCGATATGTATGAAAATATTATCTTATTATAAAATTAAAAAATAAAATAAATTACTCCTCTATCCCAAAATATAAGTCATTTTTAGATGATTATTTTGTCCCAAAATATTAATTTAGCGCTTAAACTTATTTTGATTTTTTGCAAATTAATTAATTGATTCAACTCAACAGAATTGATTATTATCTCTTTTTATTCTGTATTGAAAACGCACTAAGAAAAAAAGAATTACTAATATTTTGGTTTTCTAAATTAAAAAAATTAGTCAAAAACTGTCAAATTTATTACTCTATCTATTCCATAATTCTTGTTCTACTTCCTTTTTCATTTTCGAAAAATCAATAATATTTGAAATTTACTATTTTACTATTATTTGATATTTTTTTATTTTCAAATACTATAATAGTCAAATTTCTACATTTTTTACAAGCTAACAACCTAATAACTAGTTAACCATCTAACAATTATTATTTTTTATTTTTTATTAATGTGGCGTGTGTAAGTGGTGGGAGAAGGTAGCTAAGGTTTACAAAGTGGATCGTTAAAATATTTGTAAATTTTTTTATTTCTTAATTAAATATACCAATGGATTTGAAAATTATTATCGACGGAATTTCGGTCGATAAACACTAGGCATTTTTGCTCGCTCTTTCCTCTTCTCTTTCGTGCTCCCCATGTTTCTTTCTCTTTGACTAACGGACCTAATGGAAAAAAGAGCAGAGCCTAGCACTGGTGAGTCCGTTGCCACTGAGGCCAAATTTCAGCGTCGATTCTTTAAGCTCTATTGGTTACTCAGCTCTATTGGTTTTTAGACCAAGAAACTCAGGGGATCGCGTGGTTTGCATGTGCTGGACACATCCAGGGATGAATGCTAGGAAATGGGGAAGGGTTTGAAGCTTAAGCGCTTCAATGGGGGAAAGCTTGCAAAAGCCGTGGAAAACAATATCTTAAGTGTGAATGATACGTGACTCAGCAGGCGGGGAGAAAGACAACTTGGTATCGATAGAGAAGGAGAGGGAAGAAACAAAAGAGTCATATCAAATACAAGGGCTGATGTGGAGGAGAGAGATAAAGTTGCATAAAAAGGCTTTTTATTGTTACAAATTGAAGTTGATATGCAATTAACTACATACTCATATAGTTCAAACTACCTATATTTTTAATCAATAAGAGTTTTTAGTAAGTATATATGTAAATTAAATGAGATAATTCTTATCACTATAAATAAAATCAAATTTCAATTAATCGCTTTTTTCAATAAGAGTTTTTAGTAAGTATATATGTAAATTAAATGAGATAATTCTTATCACTATAAATAAAATCAAATTTCAATTAATTGCTTTTTGTAAAATTATATGCTTGGTTTTCATGAAGGAATGTTTAAATTTTCAAATGAATCATATAATCTTGAATATATATATATACACCTATAAATGTGCAACTTATTGCTAAACCGGTTTTAAGATAAAATAGTATTCAAAAAAAGATTTCCTAAAGATTTCAGTAGCTGTCTGAAGATACTAATTGGAGATTTAGGTAATAAATGCGAGTTTCTTATAAGTTTCAGTCAGGTGGCACTAAGTAGGATGATTGACGGTAGAAGTACTATCAGACCTAACTATTCCTTTACTCGGTCTATCTTATTCGCTTTTTGAGCCGACTTTTTATATTTGGTGGAGTATCTCTTCTGACTCTAGAATCACCAATTCCTCTGTTCTTATTACCCCCTGTTAGATTTCAATTCGAGGACGAATTGTCTTAAGGGGAGGAGATTGTAATACCTCGAATTTTTATTTTCAAAACCTTCAAATTTTTTTAAAAATCAAAAATCGCAAATTTCGGCCGTGTGGGCTGCAAATGTAAAACAAGCTCAATTCGAGCCCAAATTTTCAAATTGGGCCCAAGCCCAAAAATCGAAAACCACAAGAATAATTCAAAAACCAATTGAAAAACCTGCAAACCGAGCAAAGTCAAGCCAAATCGTTGAAATAGGCCAAACCGGTTTGAATCGAACACCGGTTTTGAATCGAACCGGGAATGGCCTAGATTTGCTAGAGACCGCCTTTCTTTTTTTCTTTTTCTTTTTTTTTCTTTCTCTTCTTTCTACTTTATGCGGAGCGGGACCTCACTGCCTCTCCTCCTCTCGTTTTGCCGGCTTCAGCGACATCAACTTCCCCCTCTCTACCGTCGTCCCCGGCTTCAGCGACATCAACTCCCCCTCTCTACCTGTCGATTTCTAGTCGCCTGAGCTCAAAATCCAACCAGTCAAACCTCCTTCTCGCCACCGGTATTAATCTGCCGCTCTCTCCTCTCCACTTCTGGTCTATATAGCACAACAACGAGGGAGATATTGAGCTGCAATTTTTGATTGAGACAGCTACCTCCCTCCCATTCTCCTGGTTTTTCCGGTGAATCCAGTCAAGAGCCGGCCGAACCACCTCTCATGCCGTCGCCAAAACCTCACCCTCCACTGTTCCTCTCTTTTCCGACCAAGCCAGCAACGACAGAAACAGGTTTTGGACAAAGAAGTCGCTGCTGATCTATCCACCCGAAAATTTATGATTCCTGGTGTGTATTTGCAACAAGAACCAGCGCCACCTCACCGTCGCGTCACCGCCGCACATGCTCAAGCCTCCTTCTCCTCCTCTCTGGCGAGCGCAACGATGGCAGAAGTCGCAGTTCTGCTCCATCGCCAGATCGCATCTCCTGCTCGATTTCCGGCAACCTCATCGTTTTTCGACGATCCGCGTTAGCAAGGTGAGTCCCAAAATGCCTTCTTGTTATCTTTAGATAAATAATTAATGGACAAACTGAATTTGAATGAGCCACTTGAGATGGTTAAAGATTTAGGTTTTGTCAATTGATAAAATTTGGGGTTTTAGTAATTAATTGCCATATTTTGTAGATTTAGTAGATTAATCTGCCATATGTTTTGTAAGAATTAATTCGATCTCAAAACCGAACTTACAGGAAGCATCTGTAATTTTCAGTATATTTTATTTTGATCTCAGGCCTCTGGTCGCTGGCCAGACCGTGGCCTGGGCACGGTGGATAGTTTTCCGGAAACCGAAGTGCTAAAAGCTAGAAGTTTGCACTCAAGCCACGTAGAGTATTGATATATATTGATAATTTGTAATCTTGACATTGAAGTTATCATCAAACTACGTTGACTTGAATTTATAAATTAAGGCTTAGAAAATATATCAGACTGCAGAAATCAGTTAGTTATAATCAATGATATTAGCTAAATAATTTAATGATATAATACTAAGAATGAATAGTTAATAAAAAGAATGTTTAAGATATGAGAATCTATCTCTTGTGCGATGCTTTTTTAGGTTATTTAAGCTTCAACATAAATTAGTTAACATAGTAATCTTTAGTAATGCAAAGCTGAGGTAATGCCTTAATTATACATTAGAAAAATGGCTTTAAATCAATTTGGATTGTTGGGTCGAATTTTCTTTTTTTTTTTGTGGATTATTTTTCTTGTTGAATTTTATCACTTTATATTGGATTTTAGATGTTT